GTCTGCGGTGGGCACGGGGCCTAGAATTGGGCTAAGAGGGGTTTGAGCCCGCCCTGAGCCTGCTGCCCACAGCGGGCAGGAGGCGAACGCTCCTTATTGCGTGGCCAGCGGAAAGGCGAAGGCTCCTTGAATTGAGCGCCAAGTAGGCCCGGGAGGGAGTCACGGACAGCCTTGGCTGAAAGGAGGGTTCGCGGTCCCCCAGGAATGCCAGAAATACAGGTTGAGTCGCGAGGCCCCAGGAGCAATAGGTGACCCTGCAGTTTAGCGCAGCGCGTCCCCTTCTGAGATTGCTGCCGGAGTGAAAAGCTTTGATGCGAGGTGTAGGGCGCTCGCCCTGCACAGTGAGCCACAGGTCCATTAATTTAAGGTGCTCGAGTTAAATTGCGCTTCATAGTTTGAGCCACTGACACTGCAATGGGAGGAATGGGCTCCTTAGATGGATTCAGATGATTCTTTGTAGGAGAGACAGTGGTAAGGAACAAGAGACAGGACTGAGTGAAGAACAGTGCTTTCTGCTTACCGTCTGTGTGACTTTGGACTTCGTAAATTTTCTGTGCCTCAGTTTCCTCATCTGGAAACGTGGAATGAAAACAGTACCTACATTGTGAGGATTAAATGAGTTTGATATATGCCAAGAGCCTGGCCCATCATAAGTATTGCTTAAACCTTAGCTGTTATTTAAAAAATATTATTAGTGGATGTTTAATATTAATATTGATTATCAGTGAATAAAACCTGTTTGAGAAGTAAGCTGTTTGAGCTTAGGAAATATTAAGTTTAATCTTAATTTCTTAGAAGGACTACATGCATGGAATTGGTGGCATATGATCTAAGTCTTGAAAAAAAATTAATAGATGTGATGTCATTCAATCATTCAGTAAGTGTTTCCTAGCAAAGGTTATGGGCCAGTCATTGCTTGGGCTCTGAGAACGGTTCTCATTCAGTTTCCCTTCTAGTAAGGGGGCAAGGAGGATAATCGTACACTGATGGGAGAGGATTTCAGATGAATAGGTGGGTTGGGAGTGAAGACATTGTAGCAGGAGCTAAAGCACAGGGAGAGAATGCATTTAGGGGTGCATTGAACTTGGGGAGAGGGTGTGATGCATGGGAGCCTCAATTGGCCTGATGAGACCTTTATCTAAGTGACAAGGGGTAACCACTGTAGGTTTTTGAAAAGCACTATTACATGGCTGAGTCAGAGTTTGGAAGGGGGAAAACAAAATAATAATAACTAATATTTCTTGAGTGCCCGCCACATACCAGGCATGGATGGTTTGTTCTGAGGACTTTGCAACAACTCTACATGATGGGTCCTGTTGTTCTCATCTCCATTGTTATAGTTGAAATTCAGACACAGGGAGATTAATTTGCTTAGGATCACACAGCTGATAATGTTTGGAAAAAGCTCCAGAGCCTTCCTTCTTAACTATTAGTCTATTTCCCTTTCAGTTATGCCTGACTCCTACTTATAGTTTGGTTTAGGAGTTAAGATTAGCACACTCAATACAGTCAGAAAGCAGTTGCACAGCCTGTAATAAAGTACTGAATTTTGTGGGCACACTTTACATAAATTCTTTCCTTAGCTGGTCTTCAGAGGAAAAAATTAAATCATATTCTATTTATTCCATTTGTGCCTTTTTATATCATAAAGAACATAATAGTGACAACAGTAAAAAAAAGAATTAGCCACGGTTTCACTTTTATTGGAGAAAATATAATATTTTCCACTTTTAATTTAACACCCAAGAAAGTGGAATTTATTACCAAGATTTCTTTCCTTCCACCTCACCTCTCAGTGTAGGTGTCCCCCATTCCCAGGGCTCACTAGCTGTCACTGGAGAAGGGGGCTCCCATCCTGCCATGTCCAAATGAGCGTTCATTGCTCCAGCCAGCTAGGCCCTGGTTGTTCAAAAGGCAATCTGGTTTCAGAGGTGTTGAAATAAAGAACAGGAAAAGCAATTCTCTGAAGAGAGATTTGGTTTATTTTTCCAAAAATACAACTAACCCATCCACTCTTACCCTGGGCAGGTGCCTCCCATGGTATGGAGAAATTTCTTTGGGCTTCCTCGTTCATGTCATTGCACCCCTTTGGCAGTTGCTGAAGGAAGGTGGGATGGGAGTGGACAGGCCTGCTGGGTGACCCACATTAGTGACCTCTCCAGGCTGCCAGGCTGGCCTTTCCAGTCCCCCTCCCTTCCTCCTCCTTGGGACTTTTGATTCAGAGAAAGGTGGCCTTTGCATGTTGGACACTGTGAACTAGAGTACTCTATCAGGAGGGCATGCATGCTGTTGTGAGGTTTATCTGCCCTGGAGAGTTGCTGCTGTTGCTGGGCTTGTGTTTAATGGGTGACTTTGTGGCCTGGGGAGGAGGAGGGAGGGTTGTCCAGCCTTTTGTTATCTCCTGATTCTTGTGACTCATTTACCACATCTGCTGCCTGACAGGTTGGCTTCCTTCCCCCACCCACTGTGTCGTGATTGCACAAAAGGGACGTGCAAAGCCGGATACCTCTTCTTAACCCATCTTCCCCTTTGTACTACCCTTTAAAGACTATGGGTGCACTGAGTAACCTTTCTTTCCTTAAAATACCAGGGTGAGTCTTGTTGTCTTTTTAAACCCTCACAGGTGAGCCCCTAATCTCCTGAACTGCTGAGCACAGTTCCGCAGACAAGCTCTTGCCCTCCTTTCTGTAACTTACAGCTGTTTGCTTTTGTAAATTGGGCAACTTCTGCAATCAGGCTCATGGTGTGCACCGTCAGAGCGAAGTGTGGTCGGCCTTTCCTGTTAGGTTTAGAGATGACTCAGGAAGGCACTGGAGCTTGCTGTGTGGAAATTTCTAATATGGGGAAAGCCTGTGGGAAATTTGGAGGGGACTGTGAAGCCCCCTGATAATTATGGTAGGAACTTTCATCTTTATGAAGTACTTTGTTTCTGGGGTAATTTCCACATGCTCTAATTCTTTTGAATAATTATGCGTCTTTTAATGCCAGTATTTCTTGAGCAACCACCATGAACCCAGTACCGTGTATATGCATTTAGATTATTCTTGTATCTGTATTTAGCTGTATTTCTTCAGTGTTCACCCTCTGCCAGTACTATTCTAAGCACTTTACATATTTTAATTATTTTAACATTCACAATGTCTCCCATGAGGTAGATGTTTACAGATGATAGAGCTGAGGTACAGAGAGGCCAAGTTACTCCTGGTCAGGAGTCT